ACGCGCCAGGGTGGCAGTTCTACCAACCCACCTCTCGCTGTGTTCTGTCCTCCCAGGACGTCACGTTTGACGAGTCGGTCCCCTACTACCGCCTCTTCCCCTACCGCACTCCGTCCCTCCCCCCACCACCGCTCTTCCTTGTGCCAGGTCCCCCCCCGGTAGACCCCCTCCCCCCTCAGGGTCCTGCCCCTTCAGGTGTGTCCCAGGTAGACGCAGTCGAGCCTGTTGAGGTTACTGGTGACTCTGGTGCTGCTGAGGGTGCTGAGCCTGGGGGTGCTGACGCTGGGGGTGCTGAGCGTGTGGGTGCGACGCCTGGGGGTGCTGAGCCTGAGGGTGCTACTACTGGGGGTGCTGAGCCTGGGGGTACTGAGCCTGGAGGTGCTACTACTGGGGGTGCTGAGCCTGGGGGTGCTGAGCCTGGGGGTGCTGAGCCTGGGGGTGCTACGCCTGGGGGTGCGGAGCCTGAGGGAGCTGGGCCTGCTTGTGTGGCGTCTGGCGGTGCTGAGCCTGGAGGTTCTCCGGGTGCTTCGTCTCGGCGGGAGCCACTCTCTCCACAGGAGCTGCGCGAGTGGTTTGCCCGGCGCTGGAGGCGTGCTGCTGGTGCTAGAGGTTCTTCGGCTACTGAGGGTACTGGTGCCGCGGGTCCCGGAGGTGCTCGTACTGGGAGTACTGGAGCTGCTGGGCCTACGGGTACGACTGGAGCTGGAGCTGCGGAGGGTGTTGACGCTGAGGCTACTGCTGTCGGTCCTGGAGGCGGTTCTGCTGGGGGTGCTACTGGTGCTGCTGGAGGTACTGGAGCTGGAGGTGCTGCTGGCGCTGGTGCTGCCGCTGGGGGTACTGGTGCTGTCCCTGCTGTGTCTGGAGTCGCCGCGCGGCCTCGGCCGTACTTCGTTCCGCTCCTTCAGCAGGTTCTTGGTCTCCCGCCTTCTACTGGTCCTCCTCCTCCTCCCTTAGAGTGTCCACAGCCTGTCCTGTCACAGTTATAGTTACAGCCGGCCTCCCCACTGCCCGCTCCTTCTCCCTACACTGGTCCTACTGGAGGTCTTGCTGAGCGTCGTGAGCCTGCGTCGCGTCCTGCGTCGCCTGTCCGTACTGCTCGCGCTAGTGGTCGTGGTTCGCGTCAGCGTCCTCCTCCTGTCCCTGGCACGCACCGGATGTCTCTGCGTCCGTCCACTGCTCCTCTGCGTGCCCCTTTGCCTTCTCCTCCTGAGTCCTCTCTTCCTGCTCTTCCCAACCCGGAGTCGGACTCTCTTCGTGCTGCCAGTCCTACTGTCACGCGTCTCCTTGCTACTGTCGTCACTGACCCTTCCTTTGCGTCCACTGCTGCGTCTGCCCTAGTTGCTGAGCTCGTCGACTTTGCTGCTTGCTGTCGTCTAGACTACGCTGCTTGTCTTGTCTCTGAGTCTGAGTCTGTCTGTCCTCCGTCCGTCGGGGGTGAGTGTGCCCTTGGCACGGACGTCCTTGAGGACAGGCAGGAGGAGTTCCAGTGTTTGGCTGCTGCTTCACCTCATCTCGTGTCCGTACTGCTTACCCTTGAGGGAGACCCGGATGCACTTGACATCCCGACTCCGCGCTCTTACGCGGAGGCGATAGAGGGTCCCTACTCCTCTCAGTGGCAGGCAGCTATGGACACAGAGATGGCTTCCTGGAAGTCCACAGGCACCTACGTTGACGAGGTTCCCCCGCCTGGGGCGAACATCGTCAGTGGCATGTGGATTTTCAGGGTGAAGCGGCCGCCGGGTTCGCCGCCTGTCTTCAAGGCGCGTTACGTGGCTCGTGGCTTCAGTCAGCGGCAGGGAGTTGACTACTTTCAGACCTTCTCTCCCACCCCGAAGATGACCACTCTTCGGGTACTGCTGCACATAGCTGCTCACCGCGACTACGAGCTGCACTCTCTTGACTTCAGCACTGCTTTCTTGCAGGGCAGCCTGCACGAGGAGATCTGGCTGCGTCGCCCACCTGGCTTCACTGGGTCTTTTCCTCCTGGCACCCAGTGGAGCCTCCGGCGGCCAGTCTACGGTCTCCGCCAGGCACCGCGTGAGTGGCACGACACACTGAGGACTACACTTGCGGCTCTTGGGTTTGCTCCCTCTACTGCCGACCCGTCGCTGTTTCTGCGCACCGACACTTCTTTGCCGCCGTTCTACATCCTCGTGTACGTCGACGACTTGGTCTTTGCCATAGCTGACACTGCTGGACTCGCCCACGTGAAGTCCGAGCTGCAGAAGAGACACACGTGCACAGACCTGGGTGAACTGCGCAGCTACCTTGGCTTGCAGATCACCCGGGACAGAGCACGCCGCACCATTACCCTGACTCAGTCACACATGGTGCAGCAGGTCCTTCAGCGCTTCGGCTTCACGTACTCCTCGCCTCAGGCCACTCCTCTGCCTACTCGCCACTCGCTCTCAGCTCTGCCTTCGGATGAGTCCGTAGAGTCGAGTGGCCCGTACCCAGAGCTTGTTGGCTGCCTCATGTACCTGATGACCTGCACACGACCTGACCTCGCATACCCTCTTAGCATTCTCGCACGCTATGTTGCTCCTGGGAGACACAGACCGGAGCACATGGCTGCAGCGAAGAGGGTGTTGCGTTACTTGTGCAGTACGTCGGGCATGGGGCTTGTGCTTGGAGGGCAGAGTCCAGTGGTCCTCACTGGGCACGCAGACGCTTCTTGGGCTGACGACCAGGCTACGCAGCGGTCGTCACAGGGTTACACCTTCAGCCTTGGTTCTGGCTCTGTTTCGTGGCGGGCTACCCGCTCGTCTTCTGTTCTCGGCTCCAGTTGTGAGGCTGAGATCTACGCCGGGGCCATGGCTGCACAGGAGCTTCGCTGGCTCACCTACCTGCTGACTGACCTCGGAGAGCCGCCTCGTTCTGCTCCAGTGCTGTACGTAGACAACAAGGCCATGCTGGCCTTGTGTCGAGAGCAGAGACTGGAGCACAGAACGAAGCACATTGCTCTCCGCTACTTCCTTGCTCGTGAGCTACAGCAGCGTGGTCAGCTGCGGCTTGCGTACGTGGCCTCTCAGGCCAACACTGCTGATATCTTCACCAAGGCTCTCAGGTCAGCGTTTCTGTACTCAGCTGGGCCTTGTGCCTACCTTGCCTCACTTGCTCACCCCTTGACCTTGTTTGTACTGTTGCATATATATATACACTTGCTCTTGCTTGTCTAGCCTTATATATATATGTAATCCTGCATGTGAACTGGCCTTGTGGCCTTGAACCTGTGCTCGGAATGTGTGGTGACTTTGTGATCCACCCTGAGCTTGCTTTGCTTTGCTTGACTGGTCTTGTGACCCCTTGTTCTCCCCCACTTTGCCTATGGGGGTGTGTCAGATTTATATGACAGAGCTACTGTAGGCTATAGTGGGGTAGCACATATGGGGTACAGTTTTCTAGGGTTTGCATTTTTGTACCCAACCTTCCCTTAGTCATTTTCATTCCTCGTTTCTTCTCAGTGCGCCCTCGCGCGCCTCTCCCTCTCACGCTGCCCGTGCGCAGCTCGCTAGCCGCCCGCGCGCGGCCCGTTTTTAGCGCGTGCAGCCCGCTAGCCGCCCGCGCGCGGCCTAGCGCGCGTAGGCCGTTAACCGCCCACGCACGACCAGCACCGCCCGCGCGCAGCCTGCGCCGTCCTCGTGCGGCCCCGCGCGCAGCCCGCGCGTCGCAGCTGCTTGCGCACCGGCCGCTGCAGCCAGCGCGTAGCTCGCTGCCCGCGCGCGACTGCAGCCCACGCGCAGCCGCGGCCCGTACGCAACAGCAGCCCACGCGCAGGCCCACCGTAGCGCCGCCCTGCCCGTCCGAGCCGCGCCGCATAGCCCTGTCCGAGCCGCGCCGCGCCGCCCTGCCCGAGCCGCGCCGAGCCGCCCTGCCCGAACCGTGCCGCGCCGCCCTGTCCGAGCCGCGCTGCCCTACTGCTACTGCTGTTCCGCCCGCTCCTACTGCTTCTGTTCCTACTGCTACTGCTGCTACTGCTACTGCTGCTACTGCTACTGCTGCCACTATGGCTAGTCCCACCGTCCTCTCTTTCGATGCTGAGGGCCGTCCGATTCAGTTTGATGCTTGGCTCGACGACCTCCACCTGTTCCTACAGATCACTGCCAAGGACGATGTCTCACTGTATGATCACGCGTCCGGAACCGCTCTAGCACTTGTAGAGACTGCTGACAGTACAGCTCGCTCCCAGTGGCAGACTCGTGACGCTCACGCTCGCCTAGCCATTTGCAGTCACCGGCCGTTAGATTAGCGCGCGCATTTTGGCCAGCACAAGACTGCTAAGGCACTGTACGATGCAGTAGTCGCGCGCTACTCCTCGCCTGCCTCTGCTACGATCGGCCGTCTCTCGCTGCCCTATCTCTTCCCCGATTTGGCCGCCTTTCCCACAGTCGCTGACCTCATTACACACCTCCGCACTAGTGACACTCGCTACCGAGCCGCCCTTCCTGCTGAGTTCCTCGCCAAGAATCCGCCCCCGATGTACCTCGTTCTCTACCACCTAGTCACCCGTCTCCCTGACTCTCTTCGCGCAGTCAGGGACCACTTTCTCGCCCTCTGCCCCACCGAGCTCACCGTTGACCTGCTCGAGAAGCATCTGCTTGCAGCTGAGGCTAGCATAGTTGCTGTAGGTGCCTCTTGTGGCGACCCCCGCACGCCCTTCTTTGACGGGTGTTCCCCTCCCCCCCTTCTCCCCTCGGTCGCCTCTGCTGCCGCTGTCGACTACCTTGGTGCTGAGGAAGTCGGGCGGGCGGCACGCTGGCGGTGATGCAGAGGGCAATGGCCGCCCACTGCTGGAGGGCTGCCACGTGTAGCGCTCTCATTGGCCGCCCACGGCCCCGACCTTCCACCCTGGCACAGCTGGTGCAGACGGTGAGATAGTGGCTTATACAAACAGAATTGCATTTACGGCGATACTGTGTAACGAGCAGATCTTAGTGTCTCCAAACCCACTTCTCTTGTCTTTCCGTTGCTCTCTTCGCTCCATTATACTCTCTGTGTGCATGCCAAGAGTCTTTTTCTGTCCCACCTTCTTCCATCTCTCAATCCTCCTCCTTCACCCCTCCCCTCCCTTGTCTGTCCTCCAGGGCTCGCACACAGTAGGCACAACTGATGCCGTTCTGAGTGGCTGTCTTGCTTCAGCAAGGCACTCTCATCTCAGTCACAGCTGTCAGAGCGCCAGGCCGCCCAGCGTCTGTCACATCTGCGCGCGCTCATCAGCCACGCCTCTGCCCTGCGTGGACCTGCGCCCAGAGATCAAGGTGAGCAGCGAACCTGCTGCTGTCGTCATGGAGAATGCTGATCAAGCGCTGCTGACTATTCACCTCTTGCTGCATTCACCTTATCTCCCTTCCCTGTCCCTCCTCTCCCTGCCACCCCGCGCCACTATCAGAGCCTGCGCCGCGCTGTGGCCCGCCTGGCATCGCGCCTCAAGGCTGATACCGCTGCAACTACTCCTCCTGCCACTCAATCGCCTCCTCCCACCACACCACCCACTGCATCGCTGCTCACCGCACCCTCTCCCGCACGCACAGCGACGCCCCTGGCTGTAGCAAAAACTGTAGCGCCGTCAGGCAAAGCAGCTGCGACAGCACGTTTGGGAATCGGCACCGCAGGTGCTGCCTCGGAACTGAAGGCGTCCGGGCTGAAAGGCTCTCGCAGTGCCAAGCGGAAGCTGGCAGCAGGCGGGGAAGGCAAGGCAGTGCGTGTGGGTAAGGGGAGAGCAGGAGCAGTGGCTGTTGGGGGTGCAGCAGAAGCGAGTGTGAGTGTTGCTCCCATGGCTGCATGCAGTGTGGCGACCAGTGGTACTGCCTCCGCTGCCACCGCTGTCGCTGCTGCTACCGCTGCCACAGTTGCCTCAGCTGGCGCTGGTGCCACGGCCGCAGCCACCAAGGGCAAGAGGAGCCCTCGCGCCCTGCACGCAGCGGCCCTGCAAGGAGGCAGCTGCATGGCCGTGCCTGCTTGTGCTACAACCTGCCCCCGTGGCCCGACTGTAACATACGAGCCTGCCCCCGCCTCCTGCATCGCCTCACCGCTTCTGCCTGCCTGCTCCTCCCTTCCTCAACCCACCGATCCATCCCACATGGCCTCTCGCCTTCTCTCCCCTTCACTCCCTGCCCCCCCGGCCACCTCCCCTGCTGCTGCTCCTCTGCCTGCACCGCTGGCATCGCCAGCTGCCTGCCCGCCTACCCCAGGGGGTGAGGCAGGGGCAGGCGTGAGAGTGAGTGGGAAGAGGAGCAGGTCCGTGAGGAAGAGGAGGAGAGAGGGAGGGGAGGGGAGTGGTGGGGGAGGCGGTGAGGTGAGGGCGGGAGACAGCAGCGATGGCGATGGCGATGGGGATGGGTGTGCTGGCAGTGCGGGAAGTGCTGGTGGGGTGCAGCGCAGCAAGGCAGCAGCAGAAGAACAAGCTGCTGTGCTGCTATCAGCTAAGTTAGCCGCCGTCGCTGCAGCAGCAGCAAGCACAGCAGGAAGCAATGGAGTAACCGCAACAGGATCCACACGAACAACCACAGCAAGCATACGAGCAACAGCAAGAGCGCCTCAAGATGATACACTCGCGAGCCGTGGAGACACATCACAGGTATCCTGCCCTGCCACCAAAGCTACCACCACAGCTATTACCACAGCTGCCACCACAGCTGCCGTCACAGCTGCCACCACAGCTACCACCACAGCTGCCACCACATCTGCCACCACAACTGCCACCACAGCTGCCACCACAGCTGCCACCACAGCTGCCACCACAGCTGCCACCATAGCTGCCACCACTGCTGCCACCACAGCTGCCGCCACAGCTACCACCGCAGCTGCCACCACAGGTGCCACCACAAGTGCCACCGCCGGTACCACTGCAGACCGCATCTCCAAACTCTCAACATTGCCCCTCAAGCAGCCCGCTCTCTCCTTCCCGGTCCTCAAGAAGCGGCGCAGCGACCGACCCAAGGCAGGTGCTGTCAGCACGGCCGAGCCACCTTGAGCTCTTGTTGCCACACACCCTCCTGCTCCTCCCAACGCACCTGCTCACTGCGCTGTTGGCTCCACTGCTGCAGCAGCTGCTGCTGGCACAGCAGCTGGCACTGCTGCCTGCTCTGTTGGTACCACTGTCCCCTCTACTGGTATGACTGCCAGCTCGACCGCCAAGGTTGCCAGCTCAGCAGCCAAGGTTGCTAGCTCAGCAGAAAAGGCTTGCTGCCTAGAAGGGAAGGGCGGTGAGGGTCAGAGGAGGAAAGGCAGGGGAGATAGCCAAGATAAGAGAAGTGGAGACAAGGTGCGGGCGATTGAGAGTGCCATGCCAGGCACACGCACAGCAGGCCAGGGGAAGATGAGCCCTCGGCCACATGAAAGCGCAACAGCAGGCCAGGGGAAGATGAGCCCTCGGCCACATGAAAGCGCAACAGCAGGCCAGGGGAAGATGAGCCCTCGGCCACATGAAAGCGCAACAGCAGGCCAGGGGAAGATGAGCCCTCGGCCACATGAAAGCGCAACAGCAGGCCAGGGGAAGATGAGCCCTCGGCCACATGAAAGCGCAACAGCAGGCCAGGGGAAGATGAGCCCTCGGCCACATGAAAGCGCAACAGCAGGCCAGGGGAAGATGAGCCCTCGGCCACATGAAAGCGCAACAGCAGGCCAGGGGAAGATGAGCCCTCGGCCACATGAAAGCGCAACAGCAGGCCAGGGGAAGATGAGCCCTCGGCCACATGAAAGCGCAACAGCAGGCCAGGGGAAGATGAGCCCTCGGCCACATGAAAGCGCAACAGCAGGCCAGGGGAAGATGAGCCCTCGGCCACATGAAAGCGCAACAGCAGGCCAGGGGAAGATGAGCCCTCGGCCACATGAAAGCGCAACAGCAGCGGCAGCAGAGGGTGTGACAGTTGGCAGTGCGTGGCAGCATGGCAGAGCGAGTGAGAGTGAGAGTTTGGGGCGAGAGGGTGCAGCAGGTGGTGCAGAAGGTGGGAGCAGGGGAGGCGGGGTGGTGGAGGGAGGGGCGGGTAGAGGAAGGCGGTCGGTGCGCAGCACAGCAGGCCGGCACCCTGGCTTCGATGGCTTCCTGCTGCTGCCCCGCATCCGATGATCCCAAGATGACGGCATGTTTGGCATGGAGTGCGTGGCGAGGCGCAGCGTGGCGTGCACACAGCGGTGCCAGAGTAGCATTCACAAGCAGATGTGTGATTGATAGTATGGCTACTGCAGGCCGTGCACATGCAGACTGACTAACCTTGTTACGGCGAGGCTGGAAGCACAGGATGGCTGAGCAGGCAGTGAAAGAAGGCTTCAAGCCACGCATGTGCAACGGAGGAGAGGGAGGCGGTGGTAGTGTCCTTGGCTGCTCGAAGGGAAAGTAATGTTGCTGGTGGAAGGGCTGCAGAAAGGGTTAAACTTAAACAGGTGCGATTGGTTGATGGTATAGGTGAGAGAGGCCAGCAACAGGAGGTGTGGGGATGGTGGATGTTGCTCATCTGCCTCTCTTGATGTAGGTGGTGGCACGCTCCAAGGTCATATTTTCTGACTGTTTGATTTTGCTAAAATCAGAAAGTGATTGTAACCAGGATCACCTCAGGAAGGTTCGCACGCAGAGAAGTGATGTTGGTGGGCCCTTGAACTCAATAGCAGAGTGAATGTAAAATGATTTGAGATAATAAACACGTGCAGTACAAGGAATATAATATGAGTACAGGGGAATTCGAAACGACCTAACTAGCCATGTACTCTAAGGGGTACATTCCCTTATTGCATCGAAATCCAACCGTGCGACTCCGGGTGGTTACGTAACTGTTCGGGCAGAATCCTCGCCACTGCTGCTGCCCAGGCCCTACGATATCAGGATTTTTTCCCTGAAATTCCTGATTTTCAGCCTAGTTTTGTGTACCTACACTGAATTTTCAGTGTTGAGATTTTTGTGACACTGATTTTTTCAGCCTTTACTTCATAGCTAACACTGATGTTTCAGACTTTTATCGAAGTGTACACTGAATGCACATTCCGAATCCTTCCCGTAAAACACCCAAGACAATAAGTCAACCAACATTTCCGCATCATAAAATCTTGTGTAAAAAATACCGATCGTCGACTCGATGAACTGGCTTAGTGGTTAGCGAAGTAGATACCGATTGATAAGGTTTCCGATTCGAATCCCTCTACCACCATGTTCTTAAAGGCTACTCTCTTGCACAATTGCATGATGTAATTGAAAATTCAGGCTCTTGTTTTCCGGAACCCTGAAAATTCAGGCTTTTTTTTTTAGGAACCCTGAAAATTCAGGCTTTTTTTCACAGGGACCCTGATGCATCAACGTCCCTAAAAGTGAATCTGAGGGCCTGCTGCTGCCTGATGCTATCTGCCCGACGGTCCAGATGCTCCTCGTAACCGTCTGTCCCTTCGACTTTCTTCTGGCTTTTCGTCTTCACTCTCGATAGTGCGTGCTTCGGCTTTACAACGGTGAGGAGTGCGCAACAGTGTTTTTCATTAACTACTATTCGTAACACCCCCCTTCACTCCTGGCCGTAGCGAGCATTGACCCGCTTGACTACCCCGCTGAGTTCGGAGCAGTGCTGGTACTGCTGACGCGACAGTCTCTTCGTGAGGAAGTCTACTGCCATGTCACCCGTTGGGCAGTATGTCAGGTCAACTTTGCCTTTGTCAACTTCGTCCTTGACGAAGAAGTACCGCAGTGCGATGTGCTTGGTGCGGTTGACGAAACCAGGTTTGTTCGCGATCCTAATCGCGCTCTGATTGTCGCAGTGCAGGCGAAAGTTCGTTGAGGCCGGAATTTTTGCTTCCTGCAGCAGTTCCTGAAGGTAGAGACCTTCACGAACAGCTGCTGTTGCTGCGATAAATTCAGCTTCCGCCGATGACAGGGCAACCAACTCCTGCTTCTGAGAGTTCCAGGAGATGGGGCCGCTGGGCTCGAGGCGGAAGAGGAACCCTGTCCTGGACCGTCGATTGTCAGGGTCAGCGGCGTGATCGGCATCCACGTAGCCGACGAGGCTGAAGGATGTGGTTGGGATGGTGGAATAACTGAGCCCGACATTGGGCGTGGAGATGAAGAATTGAAGGGCTCGCTGAAGATCTGAGAGATTCTCAGCCGTTGGTTTGCGTGAGTACTGAGCCAACTGGCTCGCAATGTAGGAGAGGTCGGGCCTGCAGGTAACAGATGCGAAAAGCAGGCATCCCAACTGCTGCTGGTAAGTGTGAAGCCCAGCAGGGGACAGGGCTTTGTTGTCAGGCTTGTGGTTGGGTCCTGGAGTGCGGTAAGGGGTGGAGAGTGGTGCAGGCGCAATGTTGAAGCGCTTGCTAAGCTCCTCCGCATACTTCGCTGCTGAGAGATGAATGGCTTCCGGCGAGTAGGTGATGTTGAGTCCGAGAAACTGCTTCACGTCATGATTGCAGGTGATGTCGACGCGCCCTGCGAGGCTTCTCTCAAATTGCTCGAGCAGTTCGTTGCTTGAGCCTGTGTAGAGAAGGTCGTCGACGTAGACCGTGAGGAGGATGTATTCGCCGCGGAAATCGCGGCGATACATTCCAGGATCGTGAGGCAGCTGCTTGAACCCGATTTCAAGCAGTATGTTGTGCAGGTACTGCTGCCAGAGTCTCGGTGCCTGTTTGATCCCATAGAGGGACTTGCGTAGCTGACAGACGCGTGGGTCTCCGTCGCCGTAAGTGTGTGGCTGTTCCACGTAGATCACGGCGTCCACTAATGCGTACAGGAACGCATTCTTCACATCGATCTGCCGGAGTGGTAGGTGTCGTGCGGCTGCGATGGCGAGGAGAATTCTGACGGACGTGTGACGGCTGACCGGTGCGAATGTCTGGTCAAAATCAATCCCGTGCCTTTGATCGTAGCCGCGCACCACCCAGTGTGCCTTGAATCGCTCAATCCTTCCGTCGGCTCCTGTCTTCACTCGGAAGACCCATTTGCCGGAGAGAATTCTTCTCCCCTTTATTGCTGCACGGTCGACGAGCACCCAGGTGTCGCGCGACTCGAGTGCCCGGATTTCCGCATCCATTGCTTCGCGCCACTCCTTGCTGTGTGTGCCTGTGAGAGCTTGCCGTGGGTTCTTAGGTTCGATGATGCGCGGAGCAGTGGAGATGGCAGCGTGTAGTCCGAGTAGCTGGAGACCGGTGACAGTGCTGTCGTGGCGATGTTGAGTGACGACTTCCTGCACGTCGTCATCATCGCTTTCTGGTTCAGGCGGTGCTGTGTCTCCGCCGCTTCTGCTTCCTCCTGCTGCGCCTCCTCCTGTTGTGCCTGTTCCTCCTTCACCTGAATCATCGTCATCGTCGTCGTCGTCGTCGCGGCGATCGCCCCTTGTGAACTCGCCTCTGGGATCCTGCTCCAGAATTGCTGCTGCTGCTTCGTCCTCAGGTGAGGCGTAGCTGTGGCCCTCGTTGGCGTAGACGCGGTTTGCATTCGTCTGCTCGTCGTCACGAAATTGTTGCAGAAACAGTCGCTCGTAGAAGATGACATCGCGCGCATTCTTGATTTTCTGGCTTAGGAGATCCAGGATGATCCACGCCTTGTGTTCGTGGCTGATACCGAGATGGATTCCCCAGCGCGCGCGGCTTTTGAACTTCCCGATGGTTGATGTTGGCGGTCGGTATTGAACCATGCAGCCCCAGACGCGGAGCATGGAGGTGTCCCCCTTTCTTCCCGTCCATTTCACGTGCGGCGATTAATTGCCAGTGATTGCGGTGGTTGACAGCAGGTTGTGCACCCGCACGGCGTGGTGCATCGCGTAGGTCCAGTAGATCGGCGGGAGCTTTGCCTGCCGCATTAGCGCCCGTACCTTCGTCATGAGGGTGCGATTCGTGCGCTCCGCTACGCCCTGCTGCTGGTGCGCGTAGGGGAGGGAGATGTGATGCTCGATCCCCTTTTGCGCGAGGTAATCCTGCAGTTCCTTGCTCCTGAACTCCGCCGCACCATCGGACTGCCAAATCTTCAATTTCTCCCCAGATTGCCGCTGCGCGTGCGCCAGCCACAGACGGAATGCTTCGTAGGCTCTGCTACGCGCTTCCACGTTTACGACCCACACGTGGCGCGTTCCGGCGTCGACGAAGGTGAGTGTGTAGAGTTCGTCGTTGATGCCGCAGTGTCCTACGTTGAGAAAGTCACTGTAAACCTTCTCAAGCTTGGCGTAGCGATTGGTTCCTGGCTCGAGTAGGGGGAAGGGCTGGTGACTCAGCGCAGCTTCGGGGCAGACAGTGCAGCTGCGCGGGTGAGTCCCTCCTCTCACTTCGGAGTCGTCAGGGCGCAACAGCGCGCCAGGTGCAAAGACGCCGTCTTCGATGCAATTCTTCAGGGTCACGCGCGAAGGGTGACCTAGGCGCTGATGCCAGATGGCGTCGTCGGCGCGGAATCCAGATGTGCGCATGTAGCGCTCCAGTGCGGCTGCGGGGTCTTCGTCAGGTGCCGGTGCAGGTGTAGGCGCTGTTCCCCCGTTCTCTTCTTCTTCCTCGTTCGCCGTTGTTAGCATGAGGGCGAGAAATTCTCTGTCGCGGATGATGGAGTAGGGGATGTTGGTTCCGGGGATCGTGCCAAGTACGAACGCCGGTTCGCGTGGTTCAGGGGCAGGTCCGTAGACAGTGCGTCGCGGGGTGAGTGGTTCACTTCCCCAGTCAATGGTGTCCCAGGGGTCACTACCTGAAGGGATGTCAGGCGGCGGTGGTCCTAACGCAGGGCGGCGCGGAGGTCGTCCGAGAGGAACAACGGGAGGCTCGACGTCGGCATGCGCATGTTCTTCTTCCTCTTCCCCCCTTTGATCCTCGCGGAAAGCTCCCCAGCCGCTCGTCTCGCCGCCTTGTGCGGCGCCCCATCCGCCGATGTATGCGCCTGTTGCTGCGCCCCATCCGCCGGTTGTGACGCCCCAGCCGCTGGTGTCGCTCGTTCCCCATCCGCCGGCGCTCCCCCACCCCCCTTCATTGGAGGCGCTTTCCTCGTCCTGCTCCCAGGCGAGCGTTCCGCGTGCCTCGGCGAGGCTCTTCCGCCCAAGCTCTTCGGCTTCTTGTTGCGCCAATGCCTCTTCTTCCGTGGGCGAGAGCCGTTTCTTGGAATCGCGCCGGTGAGAGTAGATCTCTGCCGCCTTTCGTTCGGT